CTGTTCAAATTTACTTTTTTTAAAGATACTATCCATATTAGATAGAGTCTTACTCTTAACTACATTTGGATGTAATTATATTTTAAAATGTAACAGATATAGTTACATTAGTAAATACTGAGCATCATGATGTCAATATATCAATTTTATGGGAACATAATTCACCTTATAATCTTCAAGTGATTTTAATGAAACAAAAAACTTTGTATTTAAACCTCTAATCAGTGTTGTTAATTCATTTCTAGTGTTTCTAGTGTTTCTAGTGTTAATTCATTTCTAGTAAAGACAGTCATCTATCTGTCTACTTATTTATATACATAGGGAGCTATTGCCACAGTCTGCATATGGAGGGCAGAGGCCAACTTTTCCAGGTTTTTGTTTTCTTCTACCATGTGGGTTCTCATGAACCAACTCAGTCATCAGGTTTGGTGTCAAATGCCTTTACCTGCTTAGCCAGGGCAGGCTTTCAATTACTACTGCTTTCTAGGCACTTCCTTCATAAGCATTTTATGTTAGCTTTGAGTAATACGAGTCATTTATTATGATTTACAGATGGGAAATAAAAGTGGAGAACTACACTATTCCTTCCAGGTCAAACTATTGTTAACTTAGAATCACCAGCTGCTGTACTTGGTTCAGTGAAGTTCGCTCCTGTCTCTCTATGCTTTTCTCCTCCCTCAACACAAATCTTCTTTGAAACAAGCTGAGCAATCACAGCTTGTTCTATAATTTCTGGATGGAATAGCCTCCAAATTTTTAGACATTTCAAGACATAATGAGTTAGTTAGAAAGAACACAATTTATTTTTATATAGCCACCCAGATAAAGTATGTCAACTAGACAATCTAATTCTTGCCTTGATCTACAGCAAGCTTACAGTGAAATGATGCCAAATGGAATGAAAATAAAATGAAAATTGTGTTAGTCCCTGGCTATTTTGTCCTCACTGTGTTAGGTGTCTGGCTCTCTCAATACACAGTAAAAGCAGGACTCTGAGGAATTAGTGGGGGAGACTAAAAGGTTATGCAAACGGAATGTTATTGAATAAGCTTGCTGCATAAATATTAGGATGGGAGGTCAGTGACCTCAAATACCTCTGCCTATCTTCCACCCTCTGAGCCCAGCACTGCCTTGCCAGCCCCTTTGACTCACTCAGCAGGTAACCCTTCGTAGCTTGAAGACTGTGTGGACACAACATTCACCCTTGCCCATCATCCTGCTGGGGTTTAGGCTGAGCAGAGAAGTGTTTGTCAAGCACTTCTGGGTTCTCAGATAAACTGTGCTTATCAAGTGCAGCCCATCAAGCTTTGGCATCTCAGCTGGGAAGAAGGCATCTTCTAGATCAAAGCAATATACACCAACACTACAGGGGAATCTAGCACTGGGTCAGAAACTCTTTGAAGGAAGGTTCCATCTTCCCACCAGGAAGAGAAGTTTCCAGAAAAAGAAAAGCACTGTAGCTGCTCACACCCAAGGCAGTGTGCTTGGCACAAACAGGAAGACATCCCTGTATGAGGAATCGTTAGCTGTGGGCAAAGTTCAGCTAATCAGGACTGGATGCTAAATTCACATAGTTCGAAAACATAAAAATATTATGGAACCCGAATGCCCAGAATTAAGGCACTTCCCTGAGTTTGCAAGACTTGTTTTATTCATTCCCTTTACTGATGCCCTGCTATACACCAGGAGCAACAGACATTTTCGTTGCCATACACCAGCTGGTGAGACACAAGAAGCAAGTTTATGCAAATGTAACATGAAGGGTCTGTTGAGACACATTCATTTGGAAGAAATGGTCTGCCTTGGGTGCACAGCTGTGAAGCCCTGGGAACTGGACTCTGCAGGTAGCCTGGACCCTGAAGCTTATACCTGAACTATTATTTTCCTCCTGGATAGGGTGTAAAACTTTCTATTCCTGGAAAGCTATTGTAACTCCAATCCCTTCTCCTGAACAAAGCAAAAGGAGTTGTGAAATCATTATAAAAATATATCCAATGATGCCTTTAATCCCAGCACGCGGGAGGCAGAGGCAGATGGATCTCTGTGAGTTCAAGACCAGCCTGGTCTCCAGAGCGAGTGCCAGGATAGGCTCCAAAGCTACACAGAGAAACCCTGTCTATATATATATATATATATATATATATATTGCTTATTGAATTCTTCCTATAGACCTGAGGTTCTGCCTATGTGCTTTACACACTCGATAGCTAATATTCACATGAAAACACCATTGGGTAGAGTCTGCCATCATCAGTGTATGAACTGAATTGTGTTCCCTTCAAAAGTAAATTATATGCTGAGGTCCTAAGACCTTGTTGCTACCTGAGAATGTGAACTTATTTATAAATAGGATCTGGATAGAGGTGATTGAGTTAAAATGGAATCATTCATGTAGGCCCTAACCCAATATGCCTGGTGTCCATGTCAAAAGAGAAATCTAGATAGAGGTTGGAGGATGACTCTGTAGGTAAAATGCTTTCTGGGAAAGCATGAAGACCTGAGTTTGATCTCCAGAACTTACAGGAAAAGGCTTTGTTTGGATGGCATGTGAGCAGGGAAAAGAGGAGAGAGAGATTGATTTGGGGACTGAATACACACACACACACACACACACACACATCTCATAGCATAGCGGTAGAGTGCTTGCTAGCTAGCATGTCTTAACCCTAGGCTTTCACCCCAGTATAGTAGGAAGGTGATCAGGGGAAATAAAACAGGAAACTCCAAACAGAAAAAAGATGACCATGTGGTGACAGAGACAAGATTAGAAAGCCAAAATATGTCAAGGATTGCAGGTCACCACCAGAAGCTAGGAAGGCCCCAGAATCTTGGCTCTCTTACCATCTTCATCTCAGAATGCCAGGCTCCAGTCTGGGAGACAGAAGGTTTGTTTAAACCAATCAGTTTTTGGACTTTACGGCAGCCATAGGAACCAACCACAATCAGTGTCTTATAGACCAGGGAACCAGCACAGAGACTGAGCCACTCATTCCAACCTGCACAGCTGGTCTACAAGGGTGGCTCAACCTGCACAATTAGTATATTATGGTGGCTTGATGTGAGCTTCGGGTGTCTGGCTCCTTTCTGAAGACTATACATGTTTAGAAATCATTTGAAATATTGTCACCGATATTCAAGTACATGGTCTCACGTAGCTACCGAAATCTCTGAGCCCTCTATCTTGACCTCATCCTCCACTAAAGGGTTCAGCTCAGAGTGTTCCTAGTGAAGACATTCTGGCACAGGCTAAAGGGCATGGCTGTGAGAATGCGGGACGCTCAGCAGAACTCAGGAGTGCAACTGCCAGGATCTGGGGCCATCCAGAAGTCTGCCTGGTCCTTCCTGGAACAGCTAACCATGACCAGACCCAGGGAGGGATGTGAACTTCAAAGCCACTGCGGCCTTCCTACAGCCTTTCAGTTTTGAGCCATAGTCGAGAAATGCTAGCTGTTTAATTTTTTTTAAAGCTTAATAGAGGGTCAGGTTAAGTACAAGAAAGCCAGAGTAGCTTTCAGGGACTGCCTTTGCACACATTCCTTCTTTTGGAGTTAAGATACCCCAAAAATGAAAACACTTTCTGAGCCGAGCGATACTGCCTAGATAACGTCGGCAGAGGAAGTGTGTGGAATGGAGGAAAGTTGGCTCAGCACCTATCCCAGGGCTCATGTGGGTCTGAGTAGCTCCTCTTGGAGTCCTCTCCTGGAATATGCAATCCTGAGCACATCTCACACAGCCAGAGAGTGGGCAAAGATGCCATAAACTGGCTCCAAAATCAAAGTAGACTGATTAAACTGAGGGGAACTGGGCAGAGGTGGAGATCAACGCAGACAGCGGAACAATGTCCAGGCGGATGTTGGCATCAGGGGCATTTCCATTCTATCTTCAGAGAAGATTATGCTGCATTGGACCACACAGGTTTGTGTCTCATCCTGTGACATCTAGATGGAAGGAAGGGAGCCCCGTGCAGTCATAATCTCTAGAAGTCCTAGGTGCAATGGTGTTCAGGAAGCTTTCATTGCCCTGTTGGTTCATCTGCTGGGTGTATTAGGTGTGGTATCATGCTCTGTTGGTGTTGCTGTCACAGACTACCTGATGTGGGTGATAAATAGAGGGAGAGAATTTCACTCTGCTTACAATCTAATGACTATGAATTGCAAACATCATGGCCAGGCATCTGGAGAGGATTCCTACAGCTGTATCATAACGTGGTCACTAAAAGCATAAAGGGAAGTCCCTGTGTTCAGAAGGGGCACATGTGCAGGGGAGGAAACAAGGGCTTGAGGAAGGGCCTGGCCAGACAGACCTGCTAGGGACCACTTCTGCTAGGCTTGGCCCATTCCTCAGAGAGAGAGAGAGAGTCCACTCATGACTGTAGAATCCTGACACCTAACTACCTTGTACTCCCCAAGGGCTCCACCACCTCTTTCTGCTGTCACACAGGGGACTGAGCTTCCAGCACATGCAGTTTTGAGGACATCCACACACCATATGCAAACCATAGCTTATGGGTTTTGCAACCCCAAGTAGGATCAGATAAAAAGGAAATAAAGAGGCAAACCTGGAGGCATAGCCATTGGCTCAGGAACCATGGCAATTCTTGGGTAGAGCAAGTAGAACCTAAGACCCAGGACACAAAACACAGGACATAATATGGGATGTCACAGGATACAAATGACTAACCTTTGCTTAACGTGGGGGGGGGGGGTCAAAGGGCCTTACAGCCAACAGTTAAATGTGTAGGCTAGCTTTGAAGTAACTCGTGACCCACCTATCTACCATTCTAAATATTTAAACAGAATATCTTAGTCTTAACATTTGAGCTCCTTCTCTAGAACAAAGTCCCAGAGGCATCAGCAGGCTTCAGAAAGTTTAAATGCTGGGCATTTTATATATCACCATTTAACCTTTCTTTTTCCCCACTTCGCTGTTAAGAACTGGACCCTGAGACAGCAGATTCCACAGTAGAATTCCAGAGATAGACAGTTAAGCCATGGACTCACCGGTGTCCTGGGGTCCATGCATTGATTTCCAAGGTGAAGATTGCAATCGCTAAGGCGATGGTCCTGCCTGGAGACATGCCACTCCTCCTAGGCAGCCCTGGGGTCTTGCGAAGCATTTCTTTGCATCCAGAGGACAGGGAACAATTATTGCTGGTATATGTTCAGGATTTTGTTTGTATGTGTCCGTTTGTGCTGCCTAGGTGAAAGTCCAACCAATGGAGAGTCATTTATTGTAATTCCTGACTGCTATTTTCCCTTATTGACAAGGTGTCATTGTGCAATAAAGCAGAAAAAAAAAGCTGAAGTGGTTAAAAATTAGGAGCAGTGTTGTATAAAAATACAGAGGGAGCTCTTGGCTCCCAGACTAATCACTGGGAAACCAGCATGGAACTGATCCAGAGCCTACAAACGTGGGTGTCAGTGAGGAGGCCTCGGAAATCTATGGGACCTCTTGTAGTAGATCAGTACTTATCCCTAGTGTAGGGATGGACTTTGGGAGCCCATTCTACATAGAGGGATACTCCCTCAGCCTAGACACATGGGGGAGGGCCTGGCCCTATCCCAAAGGATATGACAGACTCTGAAGACCTCCATGGAAGGCTTCACTCTCCCTGGGGAGCTCCCTGGGGAGCAGAAATGGTATTGAATAGATAGGGTGTTATTGGGGGGCAGGGGAGGAGGGGAGGGAAAGGGAACTGAGATTGGCATGTAAAACAATCTTGTTTCTAATTTAAATTAATAAAATAAAAAAAGCAATCAATCAAACAAGTTCTTTCCTTGGGAGACTCTGGAAGAAAAGATAGAAGACAGAGGCACAATTTATGGGAGAGGCCTATATCTTATTCTCATAAGAAACCTAAGCTGAAAATAACTACAGAGATGGCACAATGAAAGGTAAAGCTCTGAATGGGCATTCTAACCACTCCTCCCTCTGAAAATCAGATGTGTGCCTTGCTCCCACATTAGCAAGGTAAGGGGTGGAAATGTAAGTTTTTCTGTAAACGTCACACATCTCTTTCTTCTGTGTGTAGTGGATTCTTCTGAAAAATGCAATGCAAGCTCCACAAGGCTTTAGCAAGAGCCCCCAAAAGGATTTGTGGTGGTTATAATGGAAGGGCACACGAAAAGGATAGAATTTTCCTCTGCCATAAACAAGACTGCTTGCTCCATGTCTCCACATTCTCTAGCGTTGTGGAGAGGGAGAGGTTCTGGAAGAACTGAAGAATGCCGACCATGCAAGCTCTCTGAGAACATGGGTTGCACAAGAGAATGATCTGGGATGTTGTGACGTGGAAGTCTGCTACTTCCTATCTTACTCAAATTTAACTGACTGGGCTTCTCAAATCATTCTAATGTGTGGCAAGGGTTGGGACTGAGAATACAGAATTTGAGGAGACAGAGAATCCAATGGACTTTTGTGGGTAATGTATCATGACTTTAAAATGTCTTATGGTACCATTCTTATCTTTTGTTTTGTTCTGTTTGCTTGGGGCAGCATCTGACAGGGTCACCTAGGCTGTCTGCAGCTCCTTGCAGTTCTTATGCCTCTACCCAAGTACTGGAATTACAGGTATGAGCCCATACCATGCTAGCTGTTCCTAACACTTTTGTTTTGTTTTGTTTGAAACAGATTTGCCTTATACCCTCTCACTACACAGCTGAGGATGACTTTGAACTCCTGATCATTCTGTGTCCATTTCCCAAGGGCTGGGATTGCAGTCACACACCACTATGCATGGTTCTTTGACACAATTTCTTTTTTATTTTTCAAGACAGGGTTTCTCTGTGTACCCTGGAACACACACTGTATAGCAGGCTGGCCTCCAGCTCACTGAGATCTGCCTGAATCTACCTCCATCAGGTTGGGATTAAAGGTGTGTGCCACCACAGCCAGCTGACACAATTCTTAAGAGACATCGATAGATAATTATTGACTCTAAAAGAGAAAATCTCAAATATTGGCATTTGGGGATCACAGACCACAGAGCTTGCAATCTTGGGACCATCTTAGCTACACCATGGAGAGTAAACGGGATCTAATCACCTTTTCTTGTCCCTCCTCATTTTTACATAGAGAGTTTGAGAACTAATTTCACCCATACTGTGGAGACCATGTTCCTGACATGTAAACCACACATAATTGTCAACTAATAAGAGGCTTGCAACTATGCCAGTGAATGATTCAGGCCAGAGGGACACTTCCCATGAGCTTTAGATAATGACAGGTGGGTAGCACCTGGATTCAGTCCAGCTTTGTCAGCTTTGTCATAGTGACAGGAAACTCTGTGGATCCTCTCAGTATGTCTGTGAACTGAAGGGTGGGAAATAAGTTAGCATAGGATGCTGCTTTATGTAAATGGGATGGTGCTAGCTGATTACACTGTAAGTTGTGATGACTAACTACTGCAAAAATCACCTCTTTCCTGGGAGGTTGACAGTCTTGTCGGGTAGATGGGAAAAGGATATCTTGCCTGATTGGTTTGAATGGGAGGGTATTCCAAGTTGCTACTTGAGTCTTATTATCATGCTATACAATACAGTGATATGATGAGAATAACAAAATATAGTAACAACCTAAAAGTTGATGGTATATACTATATAACGGATGCACTATATGAATAACATGGTGTTTATTTTTAATTCTTCCTAGCTCCTGACATCTATCAGTATCTGACACATTTTGAAGTGAAGTTTGTCCTTTGTGTGTACCTTGGAGTATGGGAGTGTTGGGATGAATTAAACTGGAGAAGCAAATGTCTTTATAGGTATAACACATCATAGCCATTAGAGATGAAGATGGAAGCTTAATAATATGCTGGTTTATCTACATATGTAAATGAGTTTAATTCTCAATGGTTCCTTCACAGAGTTGAAGAAATGCTGCTTTAACTGTAGCATTAGAGATTAAACCGTCTGTTGAGTCCCTTGGGTTTGCACTTGGTGTGTTAGGCTTTCCCATCATGCTATGGTTAATATTTTAATTAGCTCCCTCTGATTTCATGGAGCATAGTGTCATGAAGACCCCTAACCAATCTTCTCCTTCTAGGACAGGACCCCTATGGGAAGGCAACAAACTGACTTCAATCTCTAGTTCTGAGTTTCCACCCTGAAGAAAACCTTACAGTTTTCTACTAGTAAGGGGTTTTTCTCTTTCTTTCTTTGTTCCTTTCCTTCTTTCTTTGTTCCTTTCCTTCTTTCTATACCTTTTATTTGAATTTCCTTGGGAATTCTGTGTTGCTAAATTACACTTCCACATAACAATACAACCCCTTTCCCATTTGGAATGGTAGAAACACATGAATATTCTGAGTATTCTGACCAGCAATATGAAGATTTTTTTTCTAACATGATAAAATGAGTTCAGGGTCATTTTCATTTGGCCCCTGTAAAGGTATGGACAGTGTTTTCAAGTTCTTTTTCTTGGTGATCATGGGCTCTCTTGATTGTTCAGGGATCTCTGGTTGGGGATCCTTGGTTTATTCCATAGCTTCTTCTCACTGAGCTCCTCAGTGCACACCAAAAATCCATGCTCTTTCGCTTGCAGCACATACCCTTGCAGGGAGGCAATCAAATCTCTGAATGCAGAAAACCTGACAGGAGTCACCATCAAGTTCAGGTTTTAGGTACACCTAAATACCATTCCTATTAACATCTGCTTCCCTCAGCTTTGGTGGTCAAGAACTGTATTCTGTCCCTCATTTGCTAGCTTCTTCCCTGACTATCACTTAGATGGGCAGACCTCAGTGACCTGGTCTCTGTTCTCACTACTTACTTTATTTTCTCTTTAAACATCCATTCTTAGGAATAGACCAATGTTCGGATAAAGGGGTGTCGAGTGTAGAGTATTGACCTCCCCTTTTACCAGAATCTGCTGGGCTCTTATTTTGAATGTAGATTCCTAGAAGTGACAATTGACTATGTACATACCCTCACACAGGGTGGGGTATGGCAGTTACTTTCCTGTTTGATAATCCTGGCCCTGAGGTCAGATGCATTTTTATTCCTGAAGCCTGTTCATTCCCAATGCAGGCTGAGAACTGCTATCCAGATCCCAGGGTCTTTTATTCTTTTATCAAAAACAGATATCCTCTTCTGCTTTCAGCTTTGTCATTTCCTATCATTTAAGTCCCTAGTCAATCTCTCAGTTCAGTGAAGGAAGCGGAAGGCAGATGTCATGTCAACCCTCCTGTTTCCCTCTCTTTCCTTCCTTTCCCTCCTTGTTAGCTCCTATGTCTAATACTCTCATCTCTCTGACTCCAAAGGAAAATTTCTGTGGCACTCAGTAAATAAAAGGGCAAAGGAGTACTTAGAAATCATATTCTAAACATATCTATGACTCACCTACAACCCATTTTGGTCACCCTTTAACCTATTCCTCTTTTTTTAAATTTTATTTATTTATTTATTTATTTATTTATTTATTATGTAGACAACATTCTGCTTCCATGTATATCTGCACACCAGAAGAGGGCGCCAGATCTCATAATGGATGGTTGTGAGCCACCATGTGGTTGCTGGGAATCAAACTCAGGACCTCTGGAGGAGCAGTCAGTGCTCTTAACCTCTGAGCCATCTCTCCAGCCCAACCTATTCCTCTTTTAAAAAAATCAACAACAAGCTAAAATAATAACTGAAGACAACCATTGTGTATATCAGTGACTGGAATAATATAACCTACACAAACAATACCACAAAGAAAACAGTCATGAAGACTTCTAGAAGTGAACTTGTGTTTTGTTTGTATATTTTTTTTCCTTTTAACTATCACAGTCAAATTTGGTTACTGAGAAACCCACATTGTGTTCTCTGTAGAGACCAGCACTGTTATGACTTCAGTAGAAGGTAGAAGTTTGTAATTAGGCATATATCTCCAGCAAGGCAAGGACAAACAGGCTGCAGGCTGGGGTACTCATGAGGTGAGATGACAAGTGGCTGGCCTGGTCCATCAGCATCACCGTAATTAGGATATGTTAACAGACCCACTGCTGGTATGTAGCTTTCTTCATATCTGTGTGTGTCTGATAAACTTAGAACATGAACTCTAGATTTTTTTTTTTCAGAAAAGAATTAGCTAAAAACATGCCATTTCCCGGAAAGTATTCGGAGCTTTGTTGTTGAGCAATCTCTTTGAATGGTGATAGCTTAAATATTTACCAGGATCTTTTGGGCAACTCCCATCTTTCAGGAAAAGACTTTATTTTGAATCTATTCCAGACATCTGGGTCAGAGTCCTCACTCATCAGGTAATTCCAAGGTGAACCACATTTCTGAGTTAGCTATGTTCTGTTCTTTACTGCCTTGCTTTCAGCACAGGAAGACAAAGCAATGCTATCTGGCTTGATGGAGGGGTCTAGCATTGTGGGAGAAGTGTACCCACTTCAAATGTTTTGTCACAAAATACTCATTAGAAAAACTCCCTACATTCTAGAGCAACTTCAGTCATTTAAAAACCTGTATGCCAATTTCATAGAACTATAATGGTTACAGATTTACCTAACTGGATTATGTATCAGCAGAATGGAGTTATTTTTCATAATGAGCATAGCATTACCCAATGGGTGGTTATGATAATAAATCTACCCTTTGTGTTGCATTTATGTAAGAAATCATAGGTTTTCCTGGTTGTTAACATTCAACCTTTTGCTTAGACACATTGGATGCTTAAATGAAGCTCTGGGGTTCCCACAAAATATCACTTTTGGGATAGGTCTGAATGCCATTTCTACTAAAGAGTACAAGGGATAGATTAGTTCTCATTTTTAGGGCTACTTCAGTAAGCATATCCCTTTATTGTTTGTTTTTCAAGACAGGGTTTCTCTGTAGCTTTGGAGCCTGTCCTGGAACTCAATCTGTAGACCAGGCTGGCCTTGAACACCCAGAGGGCTGGGATTAAAGACGTGCACCACCACCACCCAGCAGTACATCCTTTTTTTGTCTAACAGTGATTCATATTGTACTACATGAATGTCTTCTTGTACATGAGCAATGCTTAATCCCAGTGTGTGCTTACACATGGAGTCACATGGAAGGACAATCAGTTTAGCTCATTAAACACACAGCAGAACACCCAGAAAAACCACATACTCTGTGGTGCGTCCTTCCCAGCAGCCCTCAGCTCACTCTCATCAGGGGCTCAAATCCGGACCGTTTGTTTCTCTACATTCCACCTCACTGTTGTCAGAAAGATACCAACTGTTTTCAGTTAAGTGGTGAACAAGGCAGAAGACCCAAACATCCCATATAGTATGCACCACAAGTTGGTTCCTCCCCAGTATTTTACTTTTAGAGTAGCTAGATTAAAACCCAGTATTTTGTGTTTTCCAGAGCCTGCGTTAGGATTTGTTGCAGGTCTTTGTTGAAATGAGATCCCTGAATTTAAACCAGGGCACCCTGACTGAAAGAGTCCTCAGCTGATCATTGACCTGCCAGCCTGACACTGCAGGTCTTCCAAATGGCTAGTACCCATCCAGATTAATCCCTACACAAGTGTTTTGGTGGGGTCAAACATGACTGAATAATGGCGAAGCAAAGGACAAAAGGCACGAACCAACACTGTCCAGTGAATATCATGTGACCTGTAGCACCTCCTGTCTGCCAACAGCATTAAATTCACAGGAAGGGAATGCGTGTGGGTGTGAGAGGGAATAAGACATTGAAAGACTGGGTAATTTCCTTGTGTTTCTACATCATTGATTTCCACCTTCTCTTATCATCGTGACAACCCAAAATTCGTAAAACTAGCAATTTTCCACCTTTTAGCTGGTATGTTTTGTACCTTGAAAACAGGGGCCAAATACTAGAAGAACCAACAATGAAATGAGATTTTTGTCATTCCAGTTTATTGAATGAGTAAATGTATAGCTTTATTTGCATACAGAAACGTGCACAAGAAGACAGGTACATACAAAACGGGTGTGTAGCTGATCATCGTTTTCAAAAGTTCGGCCATCTAGAAATAGTTACCTCCAGTTTAGCACATCTTTAGGTATTTGGAATTTTAAAGTATGATTTCAAGTCTCTGTTTATAATGACTGAATAGGAAGTTAGACAGGAAAAAAAAAACACATGCCGTAGATAATTAATGATTAGCATTAAACAGAAACCCACAGGAATTCAGCTTGGATCATTTGGGGCTAATCAACAGGGGCTCACAAGACCAGCTTCTTGTTTAAACCTTGAGCAGTCATCTTCTTCCACCGAAACATAAGATTGTATTAACACCCACAAGACCTGAGCATTAAGGCTCAAGAGATAACATTTAAAAAAAAAATACTCAATTTAAACTAAACTAAAGGGTTCAGCAAGAACAAACTCTTCAATCCTGATTATCAAAAAGACTGAAAAGGACAGCGTACTGCATAGGTTTCCAAGGTTATGAGGAAAATATTGCAGGCAGATTTTCAAACATTTGTCCATCACCCTTTCTCCTCTCGTTTATTTTTGTCTTAGTCACTAGATGATTGCTGCTTCAAGGAAGTTTTCCGATTAGGTGAATAAGGCATAACACAACCTCCAGTCAGGACTCAGTGTGTTTGGTACAATTACATTTAGCTTTCTGAATATAGTCCTTCGAAGTCGAGCTGAATCCAGTTCCTCTCCTGTGTTAAATTGCTCTTCAGAACTTTAAGAGAATGGCTCTCCATCCAAATGAAGGATGAGGATGGTGTACCTTCAGAAGTTTAGACATTGAACTAACAAGATCTGTGAGTCATTTAATGCCTTTTGACCCATAAAAATTTGTTCCTGGTAAAGATCTGTTCCTGGATTTGTTTATTCAAACCCAGGAGCAAAATGGACTGAAAAAAGCATGGGAGAGGCCAGGTGTCGGTGGCGCACACCTTTAATCCCAGAACTCCGAAGGCAGAGGCAGGCAGATCTTTGTGAGTTCGGAACCAGCCTGGTCTCCAGAGCGAGTGCCAGAATAGGCTCCAAAGCTACACAGAGAAATCCTGTGTCGAAAAACCAAAAAGCATGGGAGACAAAGACAGGGAGAAAAAAACAGCTCTATTATCTCATTTAAAATAGCAGGAGATTGAAAGTGGAATAGCCCAGGTCCTGGGAGAAATCATCAGAATGAAGAGAAATTATACCTTTTTTTTTTAAGTAATGCACACAATAATCATCTTTATTGAGAAAAAAATCACATGATATGAAACTAGGATCATCAAGGAAAATTCAGGCCATAAGGTCACCAGGGTCAAACAGCTGCAAAATGTCTGGAATGAAAACAATTTGAGGCCCCAGGGAGAAATTAATTGTTTTATAAGCTTTGAATAATGCCTTATGTTTGGAGATAGAATTTCCTCCTCTTCAAGTCTACTGTAAGCACCTCTTGGGGGCAGGATTGGTAAATGACACAATTAAAGGAGAAATGTCATTATAAGGGGAAATGGTCATCTTGAGATGGTCCCATGTGCTTTTGAGAAGTTAGTCTTGCTTTCAATTGACTCAAAAAGTTCTTTCTGAGTGGGGATGGGAAGCAAGATGTCTGCTGTCCTATTAGTAGAATGTTTAGGTTTAAGCTGCACACTAAGAATACCAAATGACTTTGAGGTATGAGGATTTGGACATTTACTCAAGGCAGTATGATATGAAGGGCTAAAGTGGCCAGACCTCCCAGCTGGAGGGTAGAGGGGGGGAGTATTCTGGAAGGTTCTAGGGGTACAACAGACAAGGCTTTGGCAGGGAAGCTACTTCATTTATATTTGAGCAAGAGAGTTTAGGAGCTTAATTTCCGTAAAGCCATAGTTTCAGTTTAGCTTCAGCCTAGACAGAAAGTGAAAGGCATTTTACGAGAGGCAGAGACAAGTAAGGCAACAGATACTATGCCAAAGGTGGAACAAGGACAGAGGTCAGCACGTTTCTGGCTCTCAGCTTTGTCCTTGGCTCAAGCCAGTCTTTTGTCCCTCTGAATAGTCAGCATTACAGCTTCCTAGAGAAACATGGAGAAGAACAGTTAGGATGTTTGGGTTGACTATCATTGTACTACATATTAAAACATCATTTTCAAATGTCAGTGATAGTGCATCTCAGAGCTGATGTGAAGATAGCATAAAATAATACTACCCACTAGATGTGATAGTGCAAGCTGATGATGTCAGCACTCAGAAGGCTGGAGAAGGAGGCACAGGCTTTCAAAGCTAGCCAAAATTATACAGTAAAAACAAAGCCAGTCTTAATTAATGAGTGAGGCCCTATACCAAATACATCTATATCTGTAAGGAATTATCTAGGCCAGAGTAACTGAACTTGGAAGACCTGCCCTAAGCCCTAAGTATGGGATGGCAATCCTTGTGATGGGATCCTGGACTGAGTAAGAAGGAGAAGCAAACTGAGCACTGGCATTCATAAGTCTCTGTTTATTGACTGATGATGCAGTGAGACAAGCTGGTCCATGTTTCTGCTGCCATGGTTTTCTCCATCATGATGGACTTGAACCAGGAGCCCTTCATTTCTTCGGTTGCTTTTGTCAACTATTTTGTTGCAGCAACAGGACAAGTAAATAGCACAACGCTCAATCTATGACTTGTACAGGTTGTTGTTATTATTTTCCACTATTAATTTCTGTGCCTAATTTATCAATGAAATTTTAGTCACTTCTATATAAGAAAAAACAGGTTGGTACTAAATTGTAATTCATGGTTTCATAAATCTTCAGGGAAATTTGAAATGCATTCTCCATGGATAATGGGAAATAAGTCTCATTATTATTGTGTGTGAAGAAGTTTTCTATTACAGCTAAATCAAGATAGCCTTGCTCAGATGAGGAAATATTGAAATAAAATGGGTTTGGATTCATCTCATTCATTTTATAGTTCTACCCCTTCTGGCTGTGCCTTCTCTAGTGTTATAGGGCTTCATTTTTCTCTTCAATTCCATGTCATGAGATTAGAACACAATTGGTGTCATTTATTGATGAAAAAAACAGATGACATGAAGCCCTGGCAGAGATTCAGCTTTCCTAAGATAAAGTACACTAAAGATGGGATTGTCAAGCCTCTCAATCATTTTACTGCTTTTGAAGGCAACACTGACAGTTATCACTGGTGTCGGAGTAACACATCCCACCACAGGGACCGATTTGAGATTACTCTCAAGGAAAGCAATGAAAGAGAAGTTGTATTATCATCTGCTTAGCTGACTTATCTGATGGCTTCAGAAAGTCCTTCCAACTTAGACATTTTACAGAGAGCCAAATTGTCACCAGGATGCCTCCCCTTCAACATGAATCTTTTTTTTTAAGTAGGTCTGGGAATGTAGCTGGGAGAGTGCTTCATTCATGAAGTCCCAGGTTTGATCTCCAAGGACTACATAAAACTTGGTGTAGTGGTGAGTGTCTGTAATCCCAGAACTTAGGAGGAGGAGGCAGGTGATTCAAAACTAGGTTATTCTCTGATACAGAGAGAGTTTGAGGCTATGTTCTATTGAATTTACTTCCATACAGAACTGAAGAATCAAAACCACAAGACAGAAATTTGTATCTCCTAGATTGACTACTGCTTGTAGGAATTCCTTTCCTAAATGCTCAGTCTCATTACTTCCAAATTACACATACTTAGCATCTTTCCAATTCTAAAATTAGAACCTCACCCTTTACCCTCTGTATCACGGTTTCTCACCATTCACCCACTGTGAAAAAATGCTAAGTAGGTTCTTCCACTTACGGAAGTTAGGCGAAAGGATTTCCAAAAGGGCTCCTGTGGGCATCAGAAGAGGCAGGCTGAGAAGCCACCTAAGAGATAAAAACAACACAATGAACACTATTGTAGTCATAAGAAAAAACAAATGATTAAACCTGTCATTAAATATCACTTAGTGCAGTGGTTCTCAACCTTCCTAATGCTGTGACCCTTTAATACAGTTCCTCATGTTGTGGTGACTGACTGCCAATCATAAAATTATTTCATTTCTACTTCAGAACTGTAATACCATTACTGTTATGAATCATAATGTAAATGTCTGATATGCAGGATATCTGATATGTGAAAGGGCCAGTCAACCCCCAAGGTGGTGAGACCCACAAGTTGAGAACCACTGACTGGATCATAAGCCAATCAGAAATTGTACATGTCTACAGTGATTCTCGTCTACTTGCTTGGAGATGGACAGTACATATTGTTTGTTCAAAGTCAAGGCTATGGAGAATTGCATTTGCTTCCCTCAGTTTGGAAGAATTGTTTTGATGAGGTATAGAACTATAGACTACAGAAGTTTTATTTTTTTTCAGGATTTTTATCTTTAAAGGTTTTTAAGAGTCTATTCTGATTCAGTGTCTGCCATAATGTTTTCACAAGATGGAGTAAGTAAAATACAAAGGAAGGTTTTTTATGGTACTATTCCTCAAGTTCAGGAGATGGTAGTGCCCGTGCAACATAAACTCACTCAGCTTGACTAGATGTCCACACTGTGAAGTTTCCTAAGAATACATCCTAGGCAAATAGGGATTCTCAGTGAAGGGTAATTGCCTAGGGAAGGTAGATTCAGGAAGTTATCAGGGTATGCAGTATGCTCTTCTAGGATTTGATACTTACAGAGGGCTGTGGTGAACTGAAGCATCCTTTAGAGAAGGGGTTCTCGAGTGAATTGTCAGCAGACTTGGTACTTGAGAGGAGACCTTGTCTGGGAACTGGCTTTGGTGGTTCTGGAAGGCAAGGGACCCAAACAGTTAGTAGACAAGCTACACACAACATATGTTCCCTGACTGGCTTGCCTTTGAATTCTTTACAACAGTGAAATAAAAATCACTACATATACCAGAACTCTATCCATCCATCAGAACAGAAAGATACATCTATCTTATCTAAAGTGGAAGACACTCAGAAGTTCCTTGCTTGTGGCTGTGGAATGAGGACTAGATTATCATTTAGCTCTTCAAATGTCACACGCAATCCATCATCACATTTCTCTAGCTCTTAGAAGCCCTTTCCAGAACCGTCACTGGGGGGCAGCATGGGGCCAGTCCCTGGGATTGGCGGAGGTAAAGGGCTGTGAGAGGTAAATGGTTAAATTACCACAGCCCTGAAGAAGCAGGAAGTGAACTATTGATAGACATGGAAGGGTCCCCTGAGATCCCCATGGGGCTGTATGACAGCTGAAACATTGGTCGACAGATACGTGAGCAAACTCACCATTAATCTTGCTCAACAGTTGATTGGCATCATAATCATCATGATCTACATGCTCCTGAGGAATGCCGACCTTACTGTTGAAGTAACTGGAGAAGGCACTGGAAGTCCCAGTTGGAGGTGTCTCTCCCTTCCTTGAGGGTACAACAGGTGGCTGCCGCAGCTGGAAGTCCTTGAACATTTCCTTCACTTCCTTGACTTCTTTGTCCCCAAGTGGGTCTAAGCCAGTGAAAGCATCACTGGGGATGTCTTTTAGGGGGCCATTTCTGGGAGGTGGTTGAGGAGGTGTGGCCAGAACAGAGGACAGCATAGGAGTAGCCTGAGAGGGCATGGCAGGAGGCGGAAAGGTGGTACTCTGAAAAGGGTTCCCCAGAGGGCTTGTGGATGACCAAGCATTGGGTGCCACAGGGGCGGGAGAACACCAGACCGCAGGGGGCGGAGGGGAAGCTGGGGCTGCAAACGATGAAGGCTGATTCCAAACTTGAACTGCTGGGGTTGCACTAAAAACAATTGGCTGACCAAAACCTGAAGGCTGGCCACTTATTATGGCTCCCGGGACCACAGATGTAGAAGGACTGAAGACAACAGGTGTCCAAGGTCCTGCTTGGGGGGGTGTTACTGAGACACCACCTGAAGAAAGAGGGAGAAAGTGTTATCAGGAGACAAGCTTGCAGAGGATTCTTCTCTTTAATTTTATTTATTTATTTATTTATTTATTTATTTATTTATTATGAGTTTTCAAGACAGGGATTCTCTGTAGCTTTGGAGCCTGTCCTGGAACTCTCTCTGTACACCAGGCTGGCCTCAAATGCACAGAGATCCACCTGTCTGTGCCTCCAGAGTGCTGGTATTAAAGACATACGCCACCACAACCCAGCTCTTTTATTTTATTTTTATAAGGATGTATTAATTGCATTAAATTGTGAGTTTAATTGTGACATTTTCAAACATCCATCTAACATATTCTGGCTGTATTTGTCCCTTTGACAAGGATTCTTGACTTTTAAGAAGCATGGCTTTCTGGGCATATTTGTAGACCATTCCCAAGGCAAACAACTTTATGAAGTTTTGAAGCTGACATAGAAATAATGGCTTCAAGAGATTAAATCACTGTCAAGGTTAACTCATTAGCACTGCTCCACTGTCGTTCAAACACTCAAACGCTCGTTGCATGTTCTTTCTACCTGTGGTTTTACTTGCCTTGTTAGAAAAGTAATACACCCCAATAGTTCCTAACCATGAATAAAAGAATGTTTCTCAAAAATGTATTGGTAAGCCTCCAATACTCTGAATAGAACTTTAAAACAGTAAGAACTGATTTGTCAAGTGGACAAATGTGCAAATCACAGGGATTATTAAGTAGTTAATTAGGATAAATCACTGCTCTGAGCCACTACTTAGTCTTTGCATTTAACAGCTGGCTCCTGCTGAGGACTTATGGAAACCAGTTATCATAAATGGACATGAGTTCTCAAAGAGCATCTCTCCGGTTTCAAAGGTCTCCTGCTTTTTAATGCTGCCAAAGTTGACACAGCTATAAGAAGGGAAGATGAAATTTAGCTGAGACCCACATAGTTTAGACTTTTACATATAAAAATGGAAGAAAGACTATTATCCTGGGATGGCTGCTTCTAATAAAAGTGCTTCCTGCCATGTGTCACTCACTAAACTTTGCCAGAAGTTAGAGGGGAGAAGTTATAAGAAGAATCAGCCCCTTTTTGGGTAACTGTGGCCTCTTGTCAGAGAGTATTATCTCCAGGGCCTGCCTCCCTGCCATGTTCTTCAGGATGTAGTCGTCTCATGAGAACTCAGACTTCTCGATCATGCCATGCACCTTGTTCTAACACAGGACATTCATTCTCTCTTCCCAATTGCATTAATTAATGAATCTGTAAACCATCACCATTGAGAAAAAAACCAAAGCACTTGCCATCAACTAACTCCAGTCCAGCCTCATCCTTAGCCATGGGCGGTGCTGTTTTACTCTTGAAACGTACTTGTTCTAAGGGTCATCCCACAGCATTTTTTCATTATCCATTTTCTAATTCAATCAAGAAAAGGTTTCAAACTTGGGATACTTGGGATAGAAAAGATTTGTTGCTGATGATTTGATTTTTTTCAGAATGAGAACTTTGAAATGGGGTTTAGGGGGCTGACATAAGGTCATCTCTTTTGATCTTTTTGGCATTTGATTCCTTTATTATCTTGAATGCTGGCATGTTGTCAGGAACACATTTGTTCCACTCCCCCAGAATGGCCTCCTTACTTAATCAGCATGCCTATTTGTCCATGAGGGAACTGAATCAAGAACATATAATCAAATATGGAAAATTCACAGTCCATATCCAAGGGATAAACTCATGAGCCTTGGCCCTGACCGAAGTACATTATTCTCCCATTTTTGACCTCTTCACAGCAAGCCTTAGAAGCAACTACTTGTTCAATGGGAAGCTAATTCATGTAGTAACTTCACAGATACAGGGGGCAGGGCTTGTTGCATTATAGAACACATTTGAAGAAGCCAAGACATGGCTTCTCTTATAAAGTCATAAAAGTGGCTTTAGGTTTGAGCAAAGCTATTGACAATGTTTCAAAACCATTTAATATTGTGAATGGAAGGAAGGAGCCATTTGAACATTCCAGCCATTCAGAAGTGTAAAAATAAATATATAAAAAGGAAGCACCCATTTACCGCCCTTCGTCCTGAACTACTTCTTTAACTCTAGTCATAGATGGTATCAATGGGAGTGCCATTTGTCAAAAAGAAAAATATTACATTTGCCAGGAAGTAAGGGCTCGATAAGGCTGCATTTGTGCCAGCCTTCATTCCCGTCTCCCAGACTCCACTCATTATGTTTCTAAAACATTTATGGTCCAGCTGGAGAAAGTAGAGGCAAGGAATGAGGAAAAAGAGAGTGCAGGCATAAAGCATTAATTTTATTACCTTTTGATGCTAGATCAAAACACAGGGTACAAGTCAAAGCCGAGGGCTCAGCTTACTGTAATGCCTTCTCCCCACACCCCCCTCCCAGATCTCAAGAGGAGACAGTCCCCCAGCTGGGTCCAGCGGAAGCCAGACCTACAACCTTCCATGGTTTGGCTGAGGATCACTGCCAATGGACAGGGGCTACACTGTGGGGCTCAGTTTGAGTTCCATGTCCAAACTTGGAAGAATCATCAGTATTCTGCAGTTGTATACCCCAAGGCCTCAACAGGGGCACATCGCCAAAAGGCTTCACTTCGTCTGAATAAATTAACAGTTATAGGGTCCAGCTGTATCTTCAGGCTGACTTGCTAAATATTGGCTGTACGAATTCTTCAAGGCATTGACATTAGACTACAGAGCTCTGGGATATGATCTAGTCACAGCCCCTGAATGCAAGTTCTCTGCCTTTCTATGGAGGAAAGACAACAGCTGCTTCCCTGTGGGTACAGGGAAAGAGCAATGCAAAAAGGAGGCTTCCAAAATGCACCACATATTTGGAGAGTCTCTCGGTGCTATCACATCGAGCCTGGCACCTATGGACTGCTCACACTCACCTGGGTTTCAGCTACTCAGCACTGGTAACAACTCCTCTCTCATCCCTACTCCGGACATGCTAAGACTTATTGTGACAGAAAGAAATTGCTCTCTTTTGCAGGGAAACAGCAAAGGAGAGAAGAAAGGAAATACAAGAAGAAAAGGGATCTTGGTGGCTGGTTCTACAGAAACTAGGAAAAGCCATGATCTCCATTCAAATCTTACCAATGGGCCAGAGAGTCCTAGTTCATCCTTGGTCCCCCACCTCCCAAGCCAGATTCTATTTGAGTTTGCACAGGAGCCAAGAAGCAAGAAACAAAGGGAATCCCCAGCAGGATGGCAAAGAATATTGTTGGGGTTTCTGAAGCCTGAAAAGGACTAGAGGCTGTGGAGGAAGAGTAACAGGACCAGACCTCAGTCAGTGTCCCTTTACCTTCATCCTGCAGCAAAAGCTCAGTGGATCCGGCAGAAATACATCTTCACCCCAGCACATCCCATTGTCTAAGGAAACACCTATGCTCCTTCTAGCTTTATCTTTGTCTAATATTTACCTCCTAGTTCTATGTAGATGCTCTTCTAGAAAAATGACTAATTATGAATTGCTAAGGGGCAAGTGTCAGGATTTGTGTCCATTCCCTGCCTACTTAGATCTAGGGGCAGAGCTGAGCCCAGAACTTAGACTTTCACTTTATGATTTAGCCTTACTTCCAGCTTAACCTACATAAGAGAGAGGATCTGAGCCCCGAAAGGAGACAGACTTCCATCTATCAAGGCAAATGGCATGGAAAGCCTGCATATCCCTACTTTTACCATGTAGACAGCACATACGGCTCTCTGGATGCATCCCCTTTACACCATCGAAACCGGTCTGACTTCAGAATCCCTTACAACTGTCTTCTGAAAGCCACTGCCAGCTGTTCAGGGACAGGAAATATTGAAAATGGACTTCTTGTCCTGTAGCGGCTCAGAGAGCCGAATTTCAGTTATTAGGCAGGAATGTCACAGGCGTGTAGGCTGTGCAGGAGTAAACTCGAGGAGTGTTGCTTGAGGTCTCCCATCTGATACCCACCTCATAGGAAGTGTCTACTCCAGCGTGTCATCACTATGAGTGACATTAGCAGCCACATCTAATTCCAACTCTGGAAACATACCTAGACCTGCAAGGGGCCCCATTGGGGCAGGAGCACTTGTTTTGAAGAGATCCAAAGGGTTGGTCTGAGGGGCTGCAGGTTGTCCTGTGGGTGACGTCTGGCCTGGAGGTTCTGAGGCAAAGATGTCAGATGCAAGCAAGTCATTTGCTGAAGACTGACAAGGAGGGGAAGGAGGGAGAAGAGTTACTCAGGTTGAAGGCAAACACAGCTTCTATCTGTCTCCTACTCCTTACCCCAAAGCTAACCTCCACATAAAGGAAAAATCTTCTATTATTACTGGCAAATGATTACTTACACCAATAAATAAAAGAGCAAAGGTAAGGTGTCTGTGTGTGTGTGTGTGTGTGTGTGTGTGTGTGTGTGTGTGTGTGTGGTGGGGGGAAGAGACGCAGATGACTGTAGTGAGCGGACTAATGGATACCACTTTGGACTTGCAAAATGAAATCTATTTTTCTCATTTTATCCTTTTATGTCAGTCTGGTCTCCTTATTGGCAAAAACTTGAAGCTGGGAAAAGGAAGGGCAACATAAGTATCCTGAATAACTTCAATCCGTTCGATCTCAATCAGTTTCAACAGAGGCAATACTACTTTGATTATTAGGTAAGACTGCACATTCCCATGAGAGCTTCTAAAAATCACCTATGGGTGCTGCACTTGGAGTCACTTTTGACTGAAGTTGGTAATAGCATTTGTGTAAGTTTCTAAGTCAATGAGTTATTAAATCAACGATTACATTTAAAAGAGGAGACAGACTTGAGAATTTTAAACCACCACCATGGACATCAGTGATGATGGGTGTCCAGGATATGTGTTAGTGTGGGGACAGGACCAAGGGAATCACAAGAACTCTCTCCCGCCCATCCCAGAACATGACAATCAAACTTACCAGAGGTACAGAAGCATAGCAGCATTAACAATGGAAAAAAAAACAACAACTTGTGTTTAGTTTAGTATTAAGTGACAAGACATGCAAACGGAAAGCAGATGTGACAAACACTGCTGGCAAGCTTAGGAAGAATGTTGACTAGAGGGGCATATTCCTGGAGGGCCGATGTGTCTTATCCCACCTTCTATATCACAGCCACACAGGAAGCTAAAAGAGCAGCAGGGGCGAGAGCTTGCGTCACACCACCCTTTGGTACCGCGCATGCACTCTGCTAATGGGTATGTGGAAAAGACAATTCACCTTGGCAGTCCTTCTGCCTCTTCCGGGTTTGGTACTTTGTGGAGGTGGGATAATGGCTATGGAGTCATGTGCTGAGGACTGGACAGAGCTTTCCAAGTCCGGCTTTACGCCATTCGGTACCGATAGTCCTTTGGGAGGAGGGCTTTCCACAAAAGGGTTCGGGGAAGATTTGTTATGGAAGCCGTTCTGTTCTCTTTCAGATACCCCATTTTGAGTTCTCACTGCTTGCTGGGTTTGCGAACTTGGATAGGGCCACGGGCCTGCCTGAGCTTCCTGTTTGCCAGTCCGGTTAGAGATCTGGTCAAATTGCTGACCAAAGTAATCGGTATCACCGTTCAGGGGCCCTTTACTCAGCGGAGTAGACAAGCTACTCAAATTCGCTTTCTTCTGATCTGAAGATGTGAGAGAATCAAACGAAGAGGGTGCCGATTGGTCTGGCTGTGCAAAAGGATCATCACGGAAAGGATCAGGATTAGGGGTGGGAAAGAAGTTGAGATTGGCAGAAAAGGCATTTTCAGGCAAGAAGGATGCCTGAGGCTTTGGTCGAGGGAGAGAACAGGAGGTGACGCCATTTGTTAAGAATGGATTTTCTCTTAAAGAGTTCTGATTGGTGTCGATTTCAGAGTTTAGATCCACTAACAGGATATCTTTGCTTTCCTAGCACATTTGGGGAAAAAAAGAGAGAAAGAGGGAGACAGTGTTAGTCCATGTTATAACTTCAAATGAGAAAACTACATCAAAACGACAAGGATTACCAGGGTTCCTATTAGAATTTGGGACTATTACCATCTCCCATCAACTCCCTGAGTGTTTACTAGCTGGGGATTAGTTCCTTACTCAGTGAGCTATAACTTTCCATGGGGTCTGCCCTTCCTTGAGTGAAATCTTGCTAAATTCATCCTCTCCTTTGTCCATTCATTCAGATGGGCTAGGTTCATTATCTGCATTGGTTCAACTGATGCCTTTGAATTAATTGGGACTCACTGTAAATGGTTATCTGAATATACTGTTTGGACCTATGAACTGACTTCAGTAACTGGGTCCAGCTTCCTACCTGAGAAACACACAGTCCATAGTCCTTTTTCTAAAAGTCTCTAACATTACCTCTCTAAATGAGCAAATATATAGGTTAATATTCATATGTGTACCATATGTATGCATGTGTACAGTGCTGAGAATTAAACCCAGGGCTTCAAGTATCTCAAGTAAGCATTCTACCACTGAGTTACATTCCACAACTCCAGATTTCATAGTTATGGCTGTGATGAAACTTAAGGTCAACTGTATTTCTTCCCTCTGGGGGTAAACAAGATTCTCCATTATCTTGGTCAGTAGGTCTCACTCTTTGAATAGACAAAGACCATACTAAAGATACTAGCCAAGTTTGGACCTCTCATTTTTACCACCCTCATCCCTTCTTGGACATAACTTTTCATGTATGTGACACTCAAAATACTGATCACATCTAATCAATATTTTCAGAACATTGCTCCTATTTCCTGTATTGTGGCAACGATTTCACCTATTAGGCATTAAAGTCAGCTAATAACTAAGGGGAAAATGAGGGTCTAGGGTTTATTCTTCAAAGCATGCAAAATGCATAACTCTACTAACTCCATTTCTTTTCTATTACATGAGAAAAATATAGATGTTAATTGTTTGGTTTCTTCATTTGTCTTATGAAAATTGTTAGCATCAAAGCCACCAATTTGATCAATTTGACATGTTTTTATTCCAGTTCATAACTAATTATTATTTACCCTGGGAAAGACCTCTTTGTCTGACTTTGATCCATTAAATGCTTAATTATGTCAGCCATAGACTGTAAACAAGAAACGCTGTCCAGCTGGAAAGGAAGCAGAAGTAGACATCTAGCAGTAACCTGGGTGGAGAACTGTTTTGATCACTGGGACAGGAACAATTTAGAAAAAATGTGACCATTTTCAGCTAATAAGTACAAAAAGCATTCAAAAGTAGCCCTTTTCAAGAAAAGAATAAAGTCCCATTTCTCTTTTGTGACATAGAGGAGGGCACAAACTGTAATCAGGTCCAAACTGTATTCTCTCTTTTTATTTTTATTTTTTTACTTGAAAACATAAAATCAGGGTTTTTTTTTTTTTGAAAGCCTGATTTTCTCTTTATAACTAGAAGAATTCATCACAGAGAGAACTTAAATTTAAAAGCTTGTAATCAAACAAATGAATTGGAATACTTCTTAATGAGTGGATTTTTAAGCAATCAAAAGGTGGGATAAGATGCATTCTGAAAGCTTGATTTCAGTGTTTTATTTGTTTGTTAAGAGCCACCTCTAGGTTAGTATAGTTGGGGTGATCACAGCTGGCAGAGTTCTCCTTTCCAGACACTTCAGAAGAAGTTCTTAAGACATCAAACGAGTCACAGTATTAGACTTCTGAATAGTCATCCTACGAGCAAAATGTATAAGGCTTTCCTCAGGTTGGGGTTGTTGTCGATCCAAGCTTAAAAGTCTAACTAAAAGACTAGACTGGAAAGATGGAAGACTCCTCATCTACTCCCAAGGTCAGAGCCTTATGGACTGTCAACACTCCACTTGACCACCACTTGACACCTTCAGACAGATACGAAAGTGAACAAGAGGGTGTGAAGACTGTACCAAGGCAATATTTGGAAACTGAGATCTACTGCTCTTCTCTGGGTAGATAGCCTCCTAGAGATGGCTACTTACTGAAGCCTCAACCCCATTGCTGGCTTCCTGCCATTCTTTATGTTCATTAAAACCAACTTCTTTAGATCAGCTTTTGGAATGCTACATGGTAGGACCCCACTCAATTTACCGTAGCTACTATCTATTGCACTATAAACTTCAATGACCCAGCTCAAATTCAGATTTTTCTTTACACTTTTCTTATTGATATTTCAGTTTTACCTCTGTCTACCTCATGCCATTTATGGGGGTATAAATGTGTATACAGACACATATTACTTAAACTTTGTACACTAATCTAATCCCCTTATGCCAGGCTTAATCTCTATGATGGTGGATCATTTCTTGTAGTCTTTCAAGTGGTCAGGTTTTTAAAGTTAAAGATCATATACCTCCTATATTTCTACTCTTCCTCCTTCACTTTTTGCCTGTCTCTGTACCTTCTTCCCTCCCTTTCTTCCCCCTTTCTCTTTCTTTCTTAGGCACCGTGAAACATAATGCTCCAGTAATTTTGCAAAAAAAAAGTTATGTTCTAAGGGATGTCAACACTTTATTGAAGTGCATAAAAGCTTTGTTCATCAATTTGGTAGAAGCTACAGCCATTAGGGATAACTAAGAGAGTCTAATTAATTTGGGTATTTTTCTTCTACACTTTATACATTTCCCCGAAGCAGTTGTTGTAAGAGTTGAAAAACTCTGAGCATGCTAGTTTTACTACTCAGAGAAACATCTATTTTGTGACCTCTGCATCTGGAGTCAATGCAAAAGAACATGTCGCCAAAGTCTAACCAACACATAGTCCTGTTAGACCTCTTTTTAAAAGAAAAACTTACCAGATATTACCTACTTTGCTTATATTTATTATTTTAACTTATTTTTAAGCTAAAACTTGAATTTCTAAAAATAAAAATATTTAGTTTGCAAGAACTCTGGAATAAGAATAAGGATCATCCATTCTGTGTTTTCATTTTGTATGCAGAGTGCTTCAAAAGTCCACAAAAGTCAAGGAAGTAAGTGCTTTCTTGCTTCTTCCTCTGCAATTCCACTGTGAGAGCTCTCCTCTTTCTTGGAGGACCTGTTTCGGTGTAACACTTAGAAAGATGATTGCACAGATATTGATTTCTTTTACCTACTAATAAAGAATTGCCAAGACTGTTGAAAAATCAAAAAAGCTCTCAGAACTAGGATGGTCCTTCCAGCATCAGCTAACCTAATATGCCAAAAATCTTATCCTGAAAACACTAAGAAGGATTATAAAGAATGAATGTGCCATGGGCAAGTGAGTAGAGAAGGGCTCACTATTTGGAAGACTACCTGGTATTTCTAGCTCCTCTATTGTAGGCTCTGCAAGGATATTAAGATGCAATCATACAGTATGATTTTATGCATAGGTACAGAGAAGAGTGTACACAGTCCATGCTTCAGTGGATTTATGCAGTGAGGGTATACCTGCTGAGCTTCTCTATAGTACTCTGGGAAGTAAGAATCCTTCCCATCTCTTTCTGACTCACCTCAATTCCCGAGATCTTCTGCACATCATGAAAACTTACTTGATAATTTCCTGATTTAAGAGAGTCTTATCCAGACATTTTCTCCATTATTCTACATATATCAATCCTCTGCTTGCCTAGATATTGCCTTCTTGTCTTTGATGTTCAAGTCTAGAAACTCCCTTCCTTGAAAGCATTATCTGAATCTGCATGCTAAGTGAACATCCTGTAATTAGCATCATTCAGTTGGCTTTGTCACTAGTCTTAACATGGTCCTTGCTAGACAGAAATGTTGACGATAACACTAATGTGTGTCTTTCTTGCCGCTATGACAGTAACAGGTACTCAGGAAACTAGGAAATAAATAATAAAAGTTGATACAAAATGACATGAATTTTTCTGTGTGAGGCCTGTTTTATAGACTATCTAAAAATAAGACTTGAACCTTAAATCTGAGCATAAGTGAGTTTTCTTGCTGGACTAATATTTTCAAATCAATAAAGGAAAATATTGCTATATTCTCACATGGCTGACACAGATTCATCAATATTGAGAAGACTTGATATATAGTAATACTCTATAAAAACTAGCAATTTTATAAAATGAAGAGACTTTTGTTAATCATAAAATGAACCTTGTTTAACTCCCTTTTGTCTGTTTGTTTGTTTTTTGATTTTCAAGACAAGATTTCTCTGTGCAGCCCTGGCTATCCTGGAACTTGCTTTGTAGACAGGCTGGCCTTGAACTCACAGAGATCCACCTGACTCTGCCTCTGGAGTGCTGGGATTAAAGGCAGGTGCCACTATGCCTGTCTCCGTGTTTAACTCTTATTTCATGTCAAACTCATGCTGCTAGATTACAAAAAAGAAAAGCAGAAAAAGATGAAGAAACTAAGATAATTTAGGATTTATTATTTAATAAACATTTCTTTCAAGTAGACTTATGCTAAGAATTATAATTTAGTTCCTCCTTCTGATCCCAAGTAATTGCTAAGAAGGAACACACTTACTGGCTAGTGGCAGAGATTTAGCCTCTATGCTATACTACTATATCCAAATTAGTAATGGTAGGTTCCTAAGGTGACTTAAGATTCAAATTATTTTTCCAGTAGCCACTTCTATTTCCTGAGGAAAAATCAAGACATTCCAAGTTTCCATGAAATGCTCAAGCTTTCTAGTTAATTGTAAATTTGGGATTATAGATGTTATTTCAATTACATTGCAAATTTAAAAACAAAACACTTACTGTTGGACTATTTAGGTCAGGAGGTGTAGACATGTCCCCAAACAAATCCATCTGGTCAACACCCTTAAAAAAGTATTTGGATTAGATTCAGATGTGTCTACTAAAATTAATTATTTTGTCTATCATTGTAATTGTTTGTGTCCTAAACTATTGAAAATAGCTGTCATAATTGGGTTGTAGTTGATTTCATACATATTTGATATTAACCTACTTATGTCAGGAAGTATAGGCTTGTCCCCAAGGACATCACTCTGGTCAACACCTTAAAGAAGTACTATATTAGAGTCTGGTGACCTACCCAGAAGACTGTTGTAGACTAACAAAGATATTATTTGAATGAATAGGAAAATAATTGTCCAAATTGAATTTTCATATGGATTCAATATAGGTCCAGTGTTAGCAAGCTCTACAGAACGTAGAAACCCATATCCAGAGAATGACAAAACATCCCAAACATACCAGCTTCAGTTTGTTAGCTTGATCATCAAGGTTCATTAGGGCTTCACTCCCATTCTGTAAATAACAGGCAAATATTAAAGGGTTTAATTGATGAAGTAACCCCATGAAATTTATTTCCATGTCCAACTATCCCATTAAGCTGTTATAACTTGCTCTCTAATAATTTTAACTGTTTATTGACCAAGAAAAGAGTGGTCACTAGCCCAGAGGATCAAGCCAGGAGGGGAAAATGCTTTTGCAGGGAGCCAACAAGGCTTTCACACATCACACACATCACAAGAAATCAAGAGGCAGCTTTACCTCTTCTGCTTTGCTGGCTTCTTCGACCTAAAAAGAAAGACACAGATTCACTGAGCTTAGTACTCAGGAAGAGAGTTAGTAAAAGAACAAATACAGCCAGATTCATAGGTAAAGAGAAAAAATCTTACATATTTTTCTATATGCTCCCCTCTCCCCTTCATGTAGATACTAGCTTTGAAGACTTTCTAGATTTAAGCCAGGTTACTCTGTTGAGTCCTTTAACGAATGTGAACATTACAGGGAGCCAGAGACCGAAATCAGATGTTCCTAAACACAAAATCCCACCATTGCCCTGCTAAGAACAATGGGCAGTGCTATTCTTAGAAGGAAAGAAACCCAACTCTTCAGTCAGGGCTTATGAATGTGACACTAAATAGACCCTGAGTATAGTTTTGAACCCAGCACTTGCCTTTTTCTTTTCTTCTTCCTTTTTCTTTACATTGTAGATAACTTGAAAAAGGTCTTTAAGATCGACGACTAATGGTTCAGCCTGAAGAGACAGAAAGCATTAACGGCATTTTGTTTTCACTCTTTGTCCATAATCAGTTCCTATTAATACTTGTGTTTCCTATTGAGATTCCTTACAACTCTCCCCTGAGTTATAGAGGTTCTCCACCCTCAGATAACTGAAGTATACAGGGTTAATACACATTTCACTAATGTTAAGAACGTACTTACCACAATAGAATCTTTTCAAGTCTTCAAGACAAAAAAAAAAAAAAAAAAAAAAAAAAAAAAAAAAAAAAAGAGCTACCATGACTATTTTTGTATATTCCTCAAGGTCTCTGGGAATAATTCAATACTGTTAGAAATTCATTAGTAGCACCATTAGAAATTCTATCCTCACAATTCTTTTAACACACATACACACACACACACACATGAGTATCAGTGACATTTTCAATAGATTCTTTAGGCATAAGTCATTGCCTGAATGATGATTGACCTAAAGACCAGGGGCTTAATGAATTGTTTCAAAATTCTTGTTAATTATAAAGATTCCTATTCTCAACAGAGGACCAGTCCTTAGGTGTGCTGTGTCTTAGAGCTTACCTGCTGCCCTGTTTTTATGGCAAAAAATTGATGCTGGCCTTCTCCTCCACACACATAACCAAATGCTCTATTGTCTGTCACATCACGGGCAATGAAAGAAATCTTATTTACTGGATGCTCATGCTCTATTACCTTAAAAGGGAACATGAAAGCACAAGGGTGAGTAATATAGAATGTACTTGTTGGCTATCATAACTGACTATGCAAAACCTATGTGAAAGCATGTACCAAGAGGTTAAAGCCTTTGAAGAAAGACTTCTTTGGTTCAAGGCTAGATCTAGATTTAGTTTTTTAAGAAAGGGCTCCAAAAGCAAGGGTTAATAGAAAACAAAAGTAGAACATTCTTTCTAAAAATATAAGTACTCAACTTTCTTTCTATCCAAAAGATACAATGCCACATGCAAGGAAGGACTGAGAGGAATTCAAGATTTTCTACAGTGAAGGAGGAAAACATAACCTTTAAACAAACCCAAGTGGAACTGGGTGTGGTGTGGCCTTTATAGTCCCTGGGAGATTGAGACAGAGAATTAGTTTACCCCATGAGTTTAAGACCAGCCCAGGCAACACAACAAGATAGTATCTCAAAACCAGCTGACCAACTGAACAACCAACTTAGCAAATACCAAAATCAGAGCCACACCCCACAATAAAGCCATAACAAGAAGAAAAGCCAAATTCAAACAAAACTTAAGTAGGTTTAGTTTCCTAAAGAAATGATAAACTTAAACGGACAGCCTAAGTAAATAAGCTGGAGAATTGTCCAGGGGGCTCCTATATTTTGTTAAGATGGACTGAACTCAGTAAATCCTAGAGCTAGGACATGCTGCCATAAGCATTTCATCCTGTCTTGGAGGGACCTTGTCATTAGAAGTCAAATGTCACGGCGGGGCGTTGGTGGCTCATGCCTTTAATCCCAGCACTCAGGAGGCAGAGGCAGGTGGATCTCTGTGAGTTTGAGGCCAGCCTGGTCTCCAGAGCGAGTGCCAGGATAGGCTCCAAAGCTACACAAAGAAACCCTGTCTCAATAAAAAAAAAAAGTCAAATGTCACAGGGACTGTATTGGTTTCTGTTCTCTGATTTCTCCATCTCTCTTGATCCTTTCTAGCCAGCACCAGGGTTCAACTCCTCAAAGATATCATGTGACAGAATGTGTCTTGAATTTTATTTCTAAATGCCTAAGATCGCTGAAAAGATAAATCAAATGATACTTCTGAACCACTGAGTTTGATTTGACAGCAGGACTTTAGTCTATAAGACACTAATTTTTGCCAAATGAAGTTTTTATGAAACCAATTAAAATGCTATATGGTTTCTTATAAATGATATGAATCCATATTTATCATTTTATATGAATATTAAAATTAACTTGCCAAAGAGATCATATTTGGAGGAGAAAGAAATAATGCTTATGAGAGAAACCAACTACCATTGTTTAGGGGACTTGAGATAAAAGTTATTAAGGGCTGAAGGATAGTAATATAAGACAATGATACATGAGGAACTAATGACCAGCAAGCAGAGTGGGCATTTACCATGGTGCCCTGGCCAAAGTCTGGCAGGCAGATTTTGCATACTAGATAATAGGTACCTCTTGGAAAGGATGAACAGACATCTTGTCATGTTGTCTTGATATAAAGTGTTTTATAGCAGAGTTACAAATGACACCTTAAGTGAGTGAATCCTACAATGTTTTATAAAATAAAGGAAAAAGTACCATAGAAGACCTGAAATACTATATAGTTTTGGGGTACTGATCTGATGGGGAATGTACTTCTTTGTATGTTTATCTTATTGATTGTTGAATAAAATACTGTTTGGCCAATGGCAAGTAAGGACTAGGCGTCAAAGAGGATTCTGGGAAATGTAGTGGAGAAGTGATGATCCAGGCAGAAAGTGACATGGCAAGGAGACTCATATCTAAGTGAGGAAACAGGAAGTATGTCCTCTTTTCCCCTCCACTCCTGCCCCAGTGGCACGATGTGATCCACCGGCAAGGAGGGACGCCAATAAGGCATCCGATAAGATAAGTCTTATAAAATATATAGGTTTATGATAGTTAAGACTGAGCTAACAGATGAGAATCCTAGTCATTGGCCAAGCAGCATTGTACCTAATATAAGTTTCTGTGTATTCATTTGGGCCCTAACTCAGGCGGGCAGCTAGCATAAAGCTCACACGTGGTGGTGGGGCTCAGGCAGCTTTTCATGGAAAGCTTTATCGTAACACTGATCAGAATAAAGAAAACAAACAATAAAGAAGCAAAACTGATTCTATGTGATAGAACAATAGCCACCACAAATAAAAAAGAAAGGAAAACTAAAACAACAACCAAGTAAGTTACATCTTCCAGTTGGGAAGGGCAGGGGAAAAGAGAGATGAAAACCATTCTAGAGGTTTGGAACTAGTCATCAAATTCACACATGATCAATACATTAAAATAAGTTACGTATTAATATTAATCTAGTTTAGTCTGAAGTTCAAAATAATTACCATGCAACAGCAGTGGCACACTTGTGTTAGGGGCCTTATTCACATCTCTTATAGGAAATGAATTTTGAAATAGGACATTTGACTCCTTTCTTTCTGGTGTTTATTTCCAAGAAGGAGTGCATGATATTATTCTTTGCTTATTTGAGGAAGAAAAGTGTTTTCCCCTGAAATTCAACTATGGTCAGACTCAGGTGGTAAACAATTGCTAGAAAGCACAAATTCTTACCCCAGTTTTCTCGTCAATAATTTTTATACCAGACAGGGAAATGTTGACCCAGATTCTTTGCTTGTGTTGTCCCTGAGATCGGCCAGCTGCTGCCATTCCCTGGTGAGATTGGGAGAATGAGAGAAATGTATTTTAAAGTATCATGTAATACTTCTGATGATGAAAACTCTGAATGATAAACTGCTTTGTTTTCAGCTTGGATGACATCTATGAAAGGATTAAGTATTTTTGATCAAGCTTAATGGATGGAGTAGAAGATTTATGTTAACACATTAACACACACACACACACACACACACACACACACACACACACACACACACACACACACACACACACACACACGCTTATCCCCAGAGGATGGCTCACCTAAACCTTGTGTTATTTAATTAGGTCTACATAGTAGCATAGTATAGAAATTAAAAATTCTGAAACACTTGGCCTAGGAAGATGGCTCAGCTGGTAAATTATTTGCCATGTGAGTATGAAGACTTGTTTGACCCCCAAAAACACACATAAAAAGTTGGATGCTATGACATACACCAGTAATCTCAGTGCTGGGGAGGCTTGCTGGTCAGCTAGTTTAGCTAAATTGGTAAGCTTTAGGTACAGTGAGATACTCTCTCAAAGAATAAGGTAGAGGATAATTAATGAAGGCACTCAGTGTCAACTTCTGGCCACACTCACGTGCACACACATGCACATACAAATGAATGTGTGCAAAATTCAAACCACTGAATGGCAATTTCCAACTAGAGTCCTATATTTTACTTGAATAATTTATTTCTTGGTCAGTAGGCATTCTGTGACTTCTTTTAAAATTCATTTAATTTTGATTACTTTGGAAAAAATATATATGGTATACATGTGTATGGAGTCCAGAGGATGACACTGAATATCTTTCTTGACTGTTCTCTACTTTCTATACTGAGGCAGGGACTCATCTGAGCACAGAGCTCAGACTCTCTAATCTAGACCATCTGTCTCTGCCCTCTATAGAGTGTTGGGATTACAGATGGGCTGCCACACTTATGCAGCATTTCTGTGGGTGATGGAGATCTAAATTCTGGTCCTTACACTTGTAAGGCAAGAAACTTATCCACTGAGCCATTGTCCAAGTCCCCACTTTGTGTCTTCTATGAAGAATCACACACAACTGCTCACAGCTTTTTAGATCATTTAGTGATGGAGAATTTAGGGAAGGGCTTTGCTTATCTAGATACTGAGTTTATCCAAAAGAAAAGGCACCTGGGATCTTTCAACCCTTGATTAAAGAGGAACTCTAGAACAGAATTCAGATTCAGAGTAACCATGGCTTTCCCAAAAAGAAAACACTGGTGGGTCAATATGTGAATAGAAAACTTGAAACCAGGCAATGGTGGCGCACACCTTTAATCTCAGCACGCAGGAGGCAAAGGCAGGCAGATCTTTGTGAATTTAGTCCAGCCTGGTCTACAGAGCAAGTTCCAGAACAGGTTCCAAAGCTGCAAAGAAACCCTGTCTCAAAACATCAAAAAGAAAACAAACAAACTAAAAAGCTTGGGTTGATAGGATCTAATATAATTCCCCCTTTTAGACACATGGTTGAGACAGACGAGGAATTCTTTCCTTCTTTACCTTGAGTTTCATCATAGAATCTTGGCTCATTTTGTCTCCTCTTGCATCAGGCACATCATCAATACCAATTAGCTTGGCCTTGTATTTTACACCATCACCTTTGAATCTGGCCAACAGATACTCATCTGTCTTTTCAGAACCTGAGAAGTAAAAAGAAATGCAAGATAAAGCCTATCTTTGAATGTCACCCTTAGGTACAACTACATGTGCTCACTATCCATGGAAATTAAATAACATAAATTGTCATCATACCATAATTGATCATACATGGGATTCCCACTGTCTCATTCTTATTTCTTTTAAGAAAAATGATGTCCCACAATATTGAATATAGAATTGAGATTAAAAGGAAAAAAAATCAAGAACAAACAACAAACACTTCCTCAAGACACAAAATGCAGATGAGAAATTAATGAGAACACATGAATTGGGAGTTGGGAATATTTTTCATCAAAGATTTTTTAATGTTTTGAATGATTTTACAAAATGGCATATTCTTTTTAATGAAAGAAAAAATAAGGCACTAAACAATTTTCTAACATTTTGAACCATCAAAAAACAAAAGCAAATTGAGGGTAAATTCCCATGGCATCATTGGGTAATTACCCCTTTCTTTGTATTTTCTTTTCTCCTCTCAAAAAGCCCAGGATGTCTTATTCCTAGAGCTGAAGGGCTGTGGCCAAAGCTAAGCAGGAAGTCCTCTGCATCTTCCCCAGCTCTGGCTGACTAAGGCCTTGAGCACTATCTAGAAGTTCTTAAAGCTGAGAGTGTTTTATTAAAGTTTGATTTTTCAAAACTGGTGATGTTAGTAAAAAAAGTGGTAAGTAGATTACTGAATGATAATTACACAATAAATATGATTGCATAATTAACAAGGCATTTAAGCAAAAGCATTATAAAAAACCCATATAATTAAGAAAATGCTATGAAATTTTCCTAACTGAATTTAAGTTGGTACAATCAGAGATGCAGAGACAAGTATTTGTCACACACGAATCCAACCAATCGCTTTTGCCAGAAATAAAAGTTCCCTTCCTGGTGGCACACACCTTTAATCCCTGCACTCAGGAGGCAGAGGCAGGCAGATCTCTGTGAGTTCGAGGCCCACTCTGGTCTCCAGGGCTGTGCCAGGATAGGCTCCAAAGCTACACAGAGAAACCCTGTCTGGAAAAAACAACAATAAAAAAATCCCTTCCTAGAACTTGAGAGTAAGCTCACGTGACAGCCAAACAAGCCATTTGCCCATACCTTTCTTCTTTTCCTTCTTTGATGGCACTTTCGGTGCAGCCTGTTGGTCAGGCTGACCATTGGTTGTGCTTGTTTCTACTTCGTTAGACATGGCAGGAAGGCAAGCAGAAAACCCAGTAGCAGACGCTCACTGACACCAGGTGATTCTTGATGCACAGGTCTCAAATGAACATAACCCACAACACACACCTGTGGGTAGAGGAAAGGCATAGTAAGGCAACAATACAGCAAACCCAAGCTCACACCATCAGTGTCCACAGGGAACATTCTGTTGCTTGTATACACTTGTTAACTGCACATGTTTGCCAGGCTGAACTCTGAAGGCAGTGTTGTTCCCTTTGAAGCTCCCCAGAATGAGAAGAGATTGTTTGGTAAATTTTTCTTCAAGCATTTGATTTCTGGTAGCATTTAATGATTACCTAGCTCAGCAACTTGTGTTAGAACTTTGGCATAAGAATCTAGTATCAAAGATAGGGATCACAAACTGGTTAGATTTCATAGCAAAATAGAAACAGACCTACTGAGATGATTAAGATTGTAACTGATGTCTGAAAATGGATGTTCAGAGTTTCAGTTATCCACAAAACTACTAAGAAAGGCAGTGTGCTCCAGGGGTATAAAAGAATACTTGCAACCTGATTTGTATCCCCAGCACACCCAAAGTAGAAAAGAACGGAGTTATTACTTTTACTGAGAGATTTAAAAATCTATTATTAAGATTCTACGAATGACCTCTGGGGCTGTATGAGCACTGAAGTTTAAATACCTCCATGGTGTGTGGTGATGGGGGACAGTGGTGCTGGGAATAAACTTGTTAATCCACATAGGTCAGACTCAGAAAGGTAAGCATTGCATGTTCTCCCTCATATACGAATATGACATGTGAGTAGAGTTGGGTCTTTGGGGAAGGAAGAGGGGGGAAAACAGGAGAGAGAACTTGGAAGGGAGAAAGACAAAATATCACATCTTTCTCTTGTATATGAAGTCTAGATTTAAATATATATGCAGGTGTAGATCACATACATACGACACATTTTGTATGTGTGTGGCATGAAAGCATAAGGAGGAATATGTAAAAGGAAGGGGAATAGCTGACAGGAGTGGTTTGGGTGGGGGAAGGTAGTGGAAGTAAATATGAGCAAAGTACAATGATCTATATGTATAAAATGTCATAATGAAACACATTACTTCATGTGCTATTTGAAAAATTAGTACTACAAGTAAATGGCTTCCATTTTTCCATCGACATGCTAGTGTATCAGAGAGTTTCAGGATGTTTCTTGTACAATTCATTGAGTACATTAATAAATGCCTTTATGCTACTGTTCATCATTAGAATCTTCAAGATGGTAGTTCCCCAGGCTCTTGTAATGCCTTCCTGTGTATCACAGCAGAGAAAACAGTCATTTCAAGTGCACAGGGTAAACTAACGTTTCAAAAGTTTCTTTGACCACACAGTATTCTGTTCCTATATACTCTAGAGGAACTTGAGAGGGTGACCATTCTAAAACTATAGCCCAAAGGCAGAGGAGAACCACTCTGTTTTAGAAACTCACTGTAAAACCATCTCTGGGCTGGGATACTCCCTTACCACAGAAGCCTTCTTCTTTCTGTACTGTGTCCCCCATATATGGCAACACTATGAACTAAACCTACCACATGGGAATACATGCTGTTTCATACACATGGAAGATAAAAATTGAGCACTGAGTTTTTCTAGTTTAACTCTTAAAAATCCTCAACAGCCCTGATTACAACGTTAATTCATCTTCCCACGGAAAACCCACACACAGACATTTTATACTACCTGCCAAGCGACAGAACCAGTTTTCTATCCCACACAGTCTGGTTCAGTGTCAGAATTCCTTGACATCCCATTGATGAATCTTAACTTAGAAATCACATTCTTGTTGTGGTTCCTCTGTTTCTTTCTCTGTCTCTTTTCCTCTGTCTCTCTCTCTCTCTCTCTCTCTCTCTCTCTCTCTCTCTCTCTCTCTGTGAGTGTGTGTGTATGTGTGTGTGTGTGTGTGTGTGTAGTAGCCCGTAAGTGCATGTCTAAGACTTAGTGCCCAGAGTCTTTGTAAGAATATGGGATTGTGCTGAATTTGGGAAGAGATCTAAGTCCAATGACATATGCCCTTGTTTTAAAATGGTAGAGTGAAGTTTGAGGGACAAAGATTCACAAAGCAGATGGGGATATAAATCCAAAAGAAGAGCTTAATTTGATGTGTTTGCCAACCAAGGAAAGCCAAGTCATGGTTAACATCCACCCAAAGCTAGCACAGCACAGCAAGGGTTCTACTTCAAAGCTTCAGCCAGCAACCAACTATGTCATGTCTGACTTTGGGCTTCCTGCCTTCAGAAGTACTGTGTCAATAAATTTCTCTTGCATTAAGCCACTCATTCCATTTGTAATAATTTGATAATGCACATGCCACCTATGTTTTGTGTGCTTTCATTGGTTTCTATGGTTCTTGGTGACATGACAAGTGATTCTCTTTGTCGTATTCGAAGCTCAAAGCTATTCACTTCAGAGGATTTACTACAAATCAAGAAGATGTTTGCTTGTGCTAACAGTATCAGAGTGAAGCTAACATCTTATCTAAGTAGGTACACTGATACCTGTACAGTGTACCTGTACAGTATAGTATATTGATACTTAGGTCAATCTCCCAATCTCTTCTCTCCAATGAGTCCCCAACTCTGCTCAGACATCATTTTATAAATACAGAAAACACTTCATTGAAATCCAGTTATCATACGACTATTTTCCTGTGATTCTTTCAAGATTAAACTTGTAAAACTAAAAGACTGTTACTTCATGCCCTTTCTCATTTCCCACCACACTCAATGGACTGTTCATCTCAACTCTCCTCTCAGAGTCACTTTGCTGATGGTCTCCTGACACACCCAATCCCTTTGCTTTCCATCCATGTGCATGGTCTTACTGTACACACCATACATCTATGCCTTTCTTGGAGCTCTGCATCCCAGCTTGTGTTTACTTAATTATGTTCCCACAGGATATTTTTAAAAAAAGAATTGAATGAATTTTCTCCAAATTAAAAAAAAAGTTTGGAAAATTTCCTGTGGAAGCTCTCATTTGGATGTAGGCAAAACAGCTATTTTCATTTTCCATGTAATGCTCTTGAATATTTAACTCCTAATTATCTTTACCCTCTGCTCTTTAGCCCCAAGTTCACTATTTCTTTGTGAATGGCCTTTGCTTTTAATTCCTTACATTTTCCCATTTGCTGAGGTGCCTCTGGCCCCACATCCTGCCCTCTCTGGTTGCTGTTTGTCCCTGAAGAAAGTAGGTAAACCAAGCTCTCCTCTGAAGCCCTCTTCTCTCCCTTCTAAATAAGCATGCTCATTGCATGGGTTCACACAGATCAACCTCATGCCTGTCTGTCAAATACTCAGGACCACAATATCCTTGATGGGAGAAGATTCATTTGGCATGTAGGAGTCATCCATATGGATGGTAGCCTGGGTTGTGGGAGCAGTGTAAATTCTCTTCTTTGCTTATCATATGTGAATTTGTGTGTATGAACTATTTCTAATTTCTCAGAACTCTCTACCTTTCCTTTAGTATATGTGGTTTTGTTCTTAGAAATGTAATGAGAAATTTTGTCCGAGGGTGCTAAATTCTAGAGGGTAGCTAATGTAGCTCAGAGATATAGATGGAAACTTATTTTGACTTCATAGCTTCCCAGTGTGTAACAAGGCGAGAAACTCCTACTTTGTATGAAGAGTTTCATTGCTAACACCTGTTCTATTGTTGAGGAGCAATTAAAACTTGTAGAGGTATCTGTGCGGATGGTGAAGAGGTAGCCTGTACCAGTTATTAAGGTGTCTCAGCTTCAAAACCTCCCTCTTCCATCCAGCTTTGCAATGTGTAGCTCAGTTCTCTGCAAACACATCTGCTTTGCCAGCTGGTTGCACATGAGGTCTACCCACTGGAGATGCTAGAGGGATATTGCCAAACTGGAAAAAGGACCCCATCTAGATTTTCTACCTTCTTGGACTTGCACATCTAGCTTCAATGTATGTCTCCTGGATGTACCAAGCTCAGCCTTCACTGTTCTCTTTAGCTTTCGGGTCTCAGGTATTCAGAGCATAGGGCTTCACCACTAGCTGAGCATCCTCCCTACTCAGGGGACTAAGAAGCAGTCACAAAACTCATAAGCTTGTGTCTCCCCATTTTCCAATCAGCCTTAGGGTACCATCTCTTTTCTGCAATTTGCTTACCTAGAGAGATTTGCTGTGGCCTGCTTTTATCATATCAACTATTCTGAAAACAATTTTTATACCAACTTATGCTTAACAATAAGTTTTCTTAACATGACTGATGTGGGCGGAACTCCAACCAATGCAATGGACACAGTAATTTTTCTTGACTTAATGGCTGAAGAGCTATGATTTGAGGATATCTTAAGTGATATAGAAGAGATTCATTAAGTACACATAGTTTTATACTTAAAAATGGTGTTGTTTGGCGTTTGTGGGCTCTATATCTGTATTTTAATATTTCTGATTTTAATATCCCAAGCCAACAACATGGACCCTAAGAATGCTCCCCAGAATAGAAAGCATTGAATTCTTTTTATGGGAGGCACCTAGAGCACCTGTGGGCTATCCTTCACATCTGCCTTGCTAAGGTGAATATGACATTGAGTTCAACAGCATGCATGTAGACAGCAGAGGTAGGAGAGATCCAAACCAGGTGTAATTACTGTCTGAGAAAGTGTTGTGGACATCAGAGTTCCCTGCCCATTGCAGAAGCTACTGTCACATCCTCCAACAAGTGTTGCTTCTGATAAGAAAAGACTTCGCTGACATAAAGTTTTTTTTTTTTTTAAAGAGACTTAGCTAATTCAATTTAGCAACTTTGACGCCAAACTTTTAATATTTTAAAGAAATGTGAGAAGTGTCACAAAGCACTTTGGTGTATCTAAGGGACAGGGGATGGTGGCATGGCATGTGGGTGCAGTAATATCATACAAGACATATCAGAATATAACTCAAGGCCAATGGCCACATCAAGTGTTGACTGCCTGGGGTAAAAAAAAATGGAAATGGCTCAAGGTGCATAGAACTACTTGGCCTTGTCTTTTATAAACGATTCCTTTCTTCAGACACCAAAGACAACATCTGTAAGGAGGAAACACCAAGGATTAAACCTACAT